AAAATTCTAAGGAATTTTCTAAAGACAAACGACCCCAAGAGGTAAAGTCAACAACGACTCCTTCAAGAGGGAGAGGTGAATGCATGGTAACAATGAGCAAGGTATGAAATCAACTGTATTTTTAGAAAAACACAAATGAAATAAAAAAGAGGTCCAAACCAATGTCATATAAGTTACAGGCAGTAAAAAAAAATCCAATGTCATATAAGTTATGGGCAGTTAAAAAAAAAAAAAGGGAAATCTTCAGGCCTCGCCACCAGCCGCCGAGTCATCACCATCACTGGGCGGGGAAGAGTTGTCATCGCCAGCGGGAGGAGGAACATTATAGAGGAAGCTCAAATCCCACTCAGGATGCTCTTGCTTTATCAAATCGACAATTTGTTGACCAGCGGAATGAAAATCCTTGGTACGAATGTCGATGAGCTCCGGAGAAGCCTTGAACTCCTCAATAATCTCTGCACGCTTGGCATCAAATGTTGTTGCAGCCTCAGCTTCGGCTTCCTTCTTCCCCTCAGCAAAACATCTCTTCACCGCCTCAGTTGCTTCTGCCAACTTCGTCTTAGATATATCTGCCCGCTTTGTAAGATTCGCAACCGAGGCAGTTAGCTTGGCCAATTCACCTTCCAAACTCTTCAGTTGGGCCACGGCCACATCTCTCTCCTTGGCAGTATTCGCGCACTGAGTCTTAGCATCATCGAGATGATAGTTAAGCTTAGCCTCTACGCTGTCCATCTCTTTATCACGCTCCTCAACCTTAACTAGGTCGAGAAGGTTGAGGATGGCGAGGATTAGGCCCTGAAAAAATTGGAGGTCAGAAAATAAAAATGCAAGCGGCGAAACCAGTAAAAATAAAAGGCAGCTCAATCAAGTCTTACGTGAATTTGGAAAGAGATCTGCTTCCACTGACGATCAACCAAAGAAGATTGAGTGGCAGCAATCCAGTGCGGCTTGAGAAAAGACTCATATAGAGCCTGGAAGACAAGGGAGAAGCAAGGAGGAAGTTTCAACATCGCCCCAATCTCGGCATCAGAGATATCCGGGACTTGGAAATTGGGATCCATGATTTTTGCCCCCCGGATAAGCACGCGTTCCCTCGGTGCCGGAGGAATATTAACATCAGGAATAGGGACCGTCGGCGTCCAAGTTTCTGCCACTGACGTCTCTTCTTTGCGCCTCCTTTTCGGCGCATGGTCCACCTCCGACACCGAAGGGCCCTTTGTGGTCTTCTTTGTCCTCGACGCCTGGGAAAAAGAACTAACTTTCTCCTTTCCCTTAGAAGGGGGTTGTTGGCTCGGCGGGGGCTACTGACTTGGCTCGGACTGCTGACTGTTGGGAAGCTGGATCCTCAAAGATGCCATTTCTACGGAAACGACGAGACAAAAATGTAGTCGACGTTTGGATAGACAAATGCCATTATAAGAAAGGCATCGGGATGAGGGGTTTACCTTCGTTGCTTAAATGGAAATATTCACGGACGGCGTCGAGATCAGTAGGGTATGGGAGATCGAGAATTAACCCAACGCCTCGAAGATTGGCCTTGGTCAGGAGGGTGTCAATATGGCAAACCTCGGACGGGAACGAGAAGGCCTTCTCAATCCTCGCCAAACTATTCCCAGAGAACTTCGGCCGGTCTTGACTGACTGTCGGATAAAAAGACTGTCAGCGTACGAAAAAAAAGGAAGAAGCAAAGTAAGGTAAAAGAAAGAGAATCAAAGTCTCACCCATGTTCCCAAACGACGCTTGCACCTTCCTTCGGCGGGGCAAGCGGTCGTCGGGATGAAAATTGAAAGGCCCGCGTATCATAAAAAACATGGGATTCCACCCATGTGACGACGATGGAATACCCAGTATTAGCTTGCCAAATCTGGACTGAAATCTCCCGTGCCCACTCAAAAAGTACCACCCATCGTACTGGGCGACATGACACAATCTGTACATAAATCTAAACTCATCTAGAGGAAGATCCATGTCAAACTGCTGGCTCCACAAAATCCAGGCGCCGGCGAAGCAGTACTAGAAATTTGGCGCCAATTGGGCAGGGAAAATGCCATAGAAGTGGCAATAATCTTTTACAAAGGGATGAACCGGAAGGGTCATCCCCGTTGTGATGGCTCTGGTATAGACAGGGAGGTATCCGGTCGGAGGCATACTAGTCATAAAATGCATGTCCGGGAGGAGGTATTCGAACCACCTCCCATCAATGCATCCTTCCTTCACTGCCCGGATAATGTCCTTATTTCAGACTCTCGACGCCACGACGTTGGCTGTAAAGAAAGACCTGTCCGGGTCACCACTCGTGGCAGCTAGGGGGGCATCCACTAGCGAGGCAGCCACCCCGCTTACACTGCCCCCGTGAAGGGAATTCGGCCAACCACTTCATCTAGCATTTGTTCTATACTACCAAACTCGTCGTAAAAATCGTCGGCTGGTCCATACATGGCCTCGGCGTCTTCTACTTCCTTCAGCAAGGAGTCGACCCCTGAAGAGGAAGAAGACCATGAAATCTCCACCACAGAAGGGGAGTCTGGACGAACGACGGAAGGATCCTCTCGACGGGGGGAGTTTTGGGCCATTATTTTGGTGATTAACAAGACAAGGAATTGAGTTAAAACCCTAACGTCGAGAGGAAGAAGAAAGAGACGGCCATTATAAATGACGACTGCTCAAACGCCTCGACATAACGTCGACCATTCATGTAAGAATGGTAACGGCGAGTATTCATGGTAGCCCAAGTTCACCAGAACTCAGGAACCAGAAGCGCACAGACGACCACAAAGTCAGAAAAAGAACTATCCTATGCAGACAAATGAAATGAAGTAAGTCTCTCTAACCTCTACATTTCGCATATTTACACATGCATATGAGTCAATAGGGAAAACCCATAAAGGAACGGTGCAAGCAAAGGATGGAAAGGCTTACGGTAAGAAGGATTCCCGGCAAAGTCTGGAACTAAGACAGCTTCGCAACACACCAAGCAGCACAAGGAATGCGGTTCAGAAAGGTATTTAAGGGGAAGAATTCCAGCAGAGTAAACGACAGTTCAACGAAAGTGAAATGTGTTTGTGTTTTAGAAAAATGGTCTCGGTTCAGAAAGGTATTTAAGGGGAAGAAAATCCTTGACCCCTGACCGTCGGATGAAATTCGCAGAATCTAACGGCAAGGGAATCTCGCCCAAATCTGACGATGACAAACGAAGGCGGGAAAATGAGGGGGCGCGATCCAAGGGCTCACATTCGTTCTTTCGAAATAAAGGCCTCACGTCAGCATAGGGAAGTGACCGACGCGACGGTTGCGTTCCTCAAGAAAATCCGAAGCATCCAGACCATCATTGCGGACGAAGGCTCGGAACTGGTTTCTCACACCCGAAGCACGGAGGAACGACCGAACCTAAGCTCGAGGCTGTCTAAAAGAAACCCTCGACCTGGGGGGTAGCTATTGCGGGGGAAAATGTGGAGGATGCGTGGAGGAATGACAATATGACACGTGGCCTTAACCTCTTCTCGCAAAGCAACAACCCTCGACGTCTGGGACTCCCTTCCATTCCGTCGCGAAGAGCCCAAGTAAGAAGTCCAAGTTAGGGCGTCGATTTCAACACTGGCGACGAGAGGAATGCTTATTGGGGGAAAGCCTGACGTGGCAAGTTGTGTACAGTAATGAGGGATGTCTGCAATGCAGGCATTAATTGCAAACCCTTAAACCGTCTCACGAGGGACAGAAAAGGGTTACAGGTACGCACATAGCCGCAACATGAGACTAATTAGTTGAGTGAACAGTACTCCAAGTGATTAGTGGGCTACGTCTGGGCATAAAAAGGAAGAGCACTTGAGTGCTTCTGCCTACAAAAGAAACCCACCCAGCGAAGGAAGCTCCAATATAAAAGAGGGAAAGCCCCATGCAGAAAGGGGGTTCACGTCCAATAAAGAGAAAAAAGAACAAGAGAGCAATTAATGTAAATTGTAATCACCTCAAAAGGAATATACAATCACAGTGGATGTAGCTCTGATTTTATAGAGTGAACCACTATAAATTCTCTTGTGTTCCTTTACTTTAAAGCATCATTCTCCCAAATTGTTCATCCCTCTAAAAACATCAAACACCTTCGGTACAAAACTCTAACATATAACCTGTATTAAAGCCGGTAATCTGACGGGAAACCTAGAGGTAACCCAGCATGTTTTTGTTGACGAAAATTCACCGTCAACAGATGTGATTGTTTATGAGAGCTTTTTACTGTAAAAAACTCAAATTCTAAACTCGAATAAGTAAAGTGAACGAGATTCTAACATAATTAATGAACAAATTAATACGAACAAACAACCCATTTAGGTCTAAATTGATGTCTGACAATGAAGTAGTGCAATTATGAGGATAAGAGGATCATGAGACCTTGAGACAATGCATGGATTGCTTAATGAAAATTCTTTTCTTTTTTTTCCAATTTTGTTTCTAGAAAAAATATAAAGAAAACTATCTGATCTCAACCGTCCATCCATCGTACCAATCTAGGTGGGCCATCCTATTAGCTAATCTAGCGGTCTAAGTTAAAATAATTATATTTTGGTCCACTTCTTGTCCTTTCGCCGTTCCCAAAAGAAGAAAAAATAGAAAACAAAGTGAAGACTGAAGAGGGGAGCTGCTCAAGTCTGAGAAACAAAATTTTGCCGAGAAAACAAAAACGAAAAAGAAAAAGAAAAAGAAAAGAAAAAAGAAAATCACTCTCTCTTCCACTCCCCCAAATCCTGAGATAAAGATTGCAAAATATTTATTATTAAAATTTCCTATTTATCCGAAGAAATTTAATTTAGTAATTTTAATTTTTAATTTCGGTAATAAATTTATCAACAAAAAGCTTTTGGAGATCTGAAACAGATAGAGAGAAAAGGCCTCACTACTTCGATTACTCACCAGCTTATAGGGATAATAATCCTCATCACCGTCAATGTTTTCTAGCTCCCATTGATCGAATCTCAGCCGTTCATATCTATGATTCATGAAGCTTATGTTATTCGTCATACCTAGGGTTTCTATCCACGATCTCTGGTTAGCTTCTGTCGCCGCCGTAGTGCTCGTCCTCGTCAACCATGTCGTCGGCGGCGAAGATCGGCCACGGCCATCCCCGGATCAACGGCCATATTTTGCCCCAGCCGTGTCCCCACCTGGCCGAGTTTCGATCGAGGAACGGCTCCAAGCCATTCCGAGCCTTGCAGGACTGCCTCCGAGTCAAGCCACCGGGAGGTGGCGCCGCGATCCGGCGGGATCCAGACGAGGTGGCGCGCTGCGGCATGTGCGGCGACGCGGCGCGGCCAAGGCTCTACGCCTGCGTGGCGTGCGCCGCCGTGTCGTGTCACGCGCCGCCTGAACCCTCCCACGCCGCGGCGCACGCCGAGTCGATGCCGCCGGGGCATGAGATCGCCGTCGACGTCGATCGCGCCGAGCTCTTCTGCTGCGCGTGCCGGGATCAGGTCTACGACCGTGACTTCGACGCCGCCGTGGTCTTGGCGCAGACGTCGGCGTCCAAGCTCGGTGCGAACTCGTCTTCATCATCATCGACATCGGCGATTAGGTTTCAGCATCCGGAGAATCTACGAAAGCGGCGCCGCGTCGATTACCGTCCTTGGGTTCCCGATCTGAGGGAGCGAGCTCTGGTGGGGAATGGATCGGTTCCTCTCGGAAGCTCCGATTCGAGTTCGGATTTTCCACGAGGGTTGCGCGGGCTCAACAATTTAGGGAACACCTGTTTCATGAACTCGGTTCTTCAAGCTCTGCTTCACACTCCTCCGTTGAGGAACTACTTCCTCAGCGACCGCCATAACCGCTACTTTTGCCGGGAGAAGAACGGCGTATCCAATACGAATCGGAGGAACGGTGCTAATTCCGATGTGAATGGAAAGATTCGAAATTGTTTGGCTTGCGATATGGACGACATCTTCTCGGCAGTCTTCTCAGGGGATCGGACGCCGTACAGTCCCGCGAAGTTTCTCTTCAGGTTTGTGTTCGATTCAGATGTGGAAATACGCCGATACATGTGCGTATATTTCAAATTCGCGTGGTTTTGATCTCGCGATATGATCATCTTTTTGTTGCAGTTGGTGGCAGCACGCGGCCAATCTGGCGAGTTACGAGCAGCAAGATGCACACGAATTTTTCATTTCCATGCTTGATGGGATTCACGAAAAGGTCGACAAGGATCGGGGTAAACCCCAGAATCCAGGTTAATTTGCTTTCTTTTCCTTAACTTTGTTTTCATTTCCTAAATGTAGTTTTGTAATCATCAATAAAGAAGGGGAGGAAAAAAAAAAAAAAAAGGTCTGGAGTTTAATTTGCGATTAATTCAAGTATAATCTTGAGTCTATGATTTGCTCTTGTCCCTGTCAGAACATTCTGTACTGTTTTGTGTGTTGAAAAAAATATTAAATTTTGCCTGTTTGCCGAAAAATAATGAATTTTCTGGGGAGAAAAAGGGAAAAGAGGTAGAGAAAAACTTACCTCGATAGGACGTGTCTTAATATGGGCCCGAAATCTTTGCTTTTTATTATTTTTTATTTATTTTGGGAGTACAAATTTTGATTATTTGGTAGAATTTCTTACTTTTTTCTTGAAGATGTTTAGTGACCACAAGAATAGGAGCTATGCTGGTTGAATTTGTTGGATTTTTGGTGTTGGCCATTTTCTGTTAGATGTTGATTTTTGGGTTATCCGGAGATTATAAGATGTTAATGAGTTTGTATTTATGTAAAATGGGCCTAGTTTTACTTTTGTTTTACACAGAAATTTAAATTTTTTGAGAGAAAATACTATAACAAAAGTTTTGTGCAGTAGTTCGAACCTATAAAGCAAATGGGCTTTTAGTCTTCTAACTTGTCCAAACCTATAGTTGGTATTGTATCTAATATCTATAGCTATGACAGGGGTAGTGAGACGACGTAGGACGTTTTAAGTTGACCTTGTTCTTAGCCACACTAAAGATCTAATCGCCCTGCATTTGTGAGCTTAAGATATGATTATCAAGTCCATCATTGGTCGTGTCTCAGTACCTATTAGATGGGTAACTTTAGATGCCCGAAGAGAAACATTCAATTGTATTCTCATTGAATCGCTGAATGAAAGTAGATGGCCACGCAATCATGATATGCATTAAATGAAACTTGAGGGCTTTGATGCCGCCACTCATCTGTTTAGAATTCCTTAATGAGCAGCTTGTGTCCCTATGTTTCAATTTGCAGTTTCTTTTTAGTTAAGGTGATTAAAGTAATGAGATTAAGAGGTAATTGTTACGTTTAACTGCAGGGCGTGGGTCTAGGTATGTTGCTTGTTGCCTTAGGAGTTGACAAGTGCTCACAGATTTAGGGCTAATATCAATCTCAACCTGGTGGCTTGATGGTGTTATCTGCTTCATTCCAGTAAGTCAAATTTTCCTTAGCCCACTCAGTTTCATCATAGGATTTTCTAGTGTTGCTTGCTTCTCATGATAACTCCGGGTTTTGTCGTGTTTATTGGTCTTCTTACTCGATCCCAGTCAACCAGCGTAGACTTTCTTGTAGATCTATTTGGAACTTTGCTTCTTGCCTCAATCCGGGTTGTCATTTTATCAAATAAGGAATATTCAGTAAAATTGAGTATGATATTCTATAGATTTTTGGGTATTTGAGGATAGAACTATGAAGTGGATCATGTGCCTAGTTGTCTGTAGATATATCATTGATTGCATGTTCTTGTTCGTTCATTGTAGTGCCTTCCCCCAACCAACGCCCC